GTCCGCGGCCCTCCACCACCTGGGGCAGCAGGCGGCGCAGCTCGGGGTCGGCGAGGCGCAGAAGCGGGTACTGGACCTGGAGAAGAGCCTGCAGTTCCTGCAGCAGCAGCACTCGGAGACGCTAGTCAAACTCCACGAGGAGATTGATCACCTGAAGCGGGAGAACAAGGGTGAGTGCAGGTGGCCGGGCCGGGACACCGCGCCCCCCCGCGGTGGGACCGGAGAGACAAGAAGACCCGCCTCCCTGGTACTTATCCCCAGCACCGAAGCAGTACATGGACTCTAGAACACGCAGGTTTAGGGAGGACTCAGGGCAGCAAGCCCACCCGGGTCCTACCGCGGGGCTCAGGCTCCCTACCCCAGACCAGTCCCCCCCGCAACCCCCCTCCAGTCATGGGTCTGTCTTCATAGAAGGTGGCCTCCTGGTCAACTGCCCATCTGGCAGGGCGGGTAAGGCTGCATCATATCCCACAGTCACCCTGTCAGCCTTCTTTTCTGCAGGCAGGGCCAGGCCCACCTCATTTTTAAAACTTTTAAAAAGTAAAACATACCCTCAAAAGTAGCTCAGTGAACTTTCACACACTAAGCACACCCAGATCAAGGGCAGACATGCTGGCCCAGTAGGATCCCTGGGCTCCATCCAGCCTCTCCCCAGACATCTGGGACCCTGTGCCCTTGTGTCTCCTCAGGGCAGACCCACTTCCTAATTTTACACCCCTCGAGGCTCCTCATCCCCCTGAAGCAGAACTTGAGGCCTCCACCATGGGACCCTGCCCCTCTCTGGCCTTCCTCACACTTTAGCTCTCCATGTCTTCTTGAGTCTCACCCCAGTCCCTCCCTGATACCAGCCGTGCCTTGGGCACTTGGTTGTAGCACTGACTACATCTGCTCATCCGTGGCCAGGGGCTCCTGGAAAGCTGGGTTATCCTGACTCATCCCTCTACCCTTGGAACCAAGCCCCCCACCTGGCAGAGGGTGCCCTGTAGACATCATGGATGAAGGGTGGGATTTTGGGTGAGGCTCTCATGCAGGGCTTTGGCTCAGGGAACAGCCAGAGGCATTCCCAGCCCTAAGGAGCCCAAGGCAAAGTCTTGGCCCATGGGGCAGGGTCCCTGAGGCCTCTTGGGGACTCAGCGGAGAGAGGGTGGGCAGGGCAGGGCAAGCCAAGCTTCTCTCAAATGGCTGTGGCTTTGAAAATGACGAGAACATGTGCTTGCTTCCAGAGCTCCATTACAAGCTAATAATGAACCAGAAGTCAATTAAGAGAGGTAAGACTGAGGCCCTCAGTGCCCGATGGGAAGTTACCACTGTCAAGAGCAGCCCCTCTAAACTGCCTGTGCCCACCCAGCTGCTCTGGCCCACGCACTGTCCTAGTGGTGAGGGGTCCTGGAGGATCTGGACAGACACCGCTGCACCCAGCCATGGTCTGGGTGACGAGCACAGAAGGTGCCGCTCTCAGGGAGCCCAAGGCCTGAAGTCTGAACAGTAGGGTCAGTGGGCAGAACAGCTGCTGGTGGGGGTGCCCAGGCCTGCCCCTGCCTTCCCCAGCCTCACTGCCTTGGTGAGCTCTTTCACTTGGCTGCTGCTCTGGCCTACTCCTGTGTCCCTCTGAAATGCTGGGGAGCCCAGCCCAGCCCTGTGGCTCTGGCCTCTCACTCCCTGGGATGGCAGGGATCCTCCCTACCATCTCAGAAGCAACTGTGGGTCCTGGGAGAAGAAAGTGCAGGACACAGAGACCTGCAGCCACTTGTCCAAAGTCCTCCCTCATCTGAGGCACATTGACTCTACCTGTCCCCCAGCCCAGCCCAGCCCAGCCCAGCCCAGACTGCTTTGGGCTTGTTCTCCCCACTAACATTTGGGGCCAGGCCTGACACTGAGTGGTGAGTGGTGCCAGCCTGGAGTACTCCAGTCTGGGGGGCGGGGGTGCCCAAGGCTCTTTCTTCTTGGGGGACACAGAGAATGGGATATGGGGGCCTGACTTAAGTGGGCAGAGCAGCTCCAGTGAGCTGTCCTAGACACACAGTGACGCCCATTTAGCAGCCCCAGTTCTGCAGTGTGTGTGTGTGTGTTGGGGGGTGGCGGTCCCCAAAGGGACATCAGGAGAGGTTGTATGCCTTCAGGACCTGCCTACTTCTACGGCCCCAAGCCCCCTCCTTTGTGGCCTTGGCTCCCTCAGGCACTGGCTAGATCAGGGGCTGCCTCACCAGAACATCGGGGAGGGCTCTGCATGAATGCCCGGGCCCAGGGCCTGCAAGGCCAGGAGGCGGGCGCAGGAGGGCCCGGCCTCTTGCTGTGCAGAAGCTGCTGGGGAAAGTGGAACATAAGCATCCTTGCTGCCATCCTGGGTTGAACCCTGCATGTTCGCCCACAGGTAGCATCACCAATTCCAACTTTCAGGCCGTCAAGCCCATTCCAAACTCAGTGATGTCAGGTGAGCCTGCCAGCACCCTCAGTGTACTTGGGGGGGAGGGCAAGTGCCCCACTGTTAGGCAGCCCTGGGGGTGGGGAGATGGTGCCTTTGCCAGGCCCCAAGAACCTGAGGGTTAAGGGGCAACAAAAGGGAGCCAAGGAGGGTGTGGTGAGCTGAAACCACCAGAAGGGGGCTGAGCTGGATGGGACCGGGCTGTGGGTCAGCCGGAGGGAGGGAGGCTGCAGAAACAGTGATGTCAGCGAGGCCCACAAGGCCCCACAGCAGGCCCACCTGGAGCGGGTGGTGGGCAGATGCGCTGACAGCCTGAGTGTCTTCCAGAGACAAGGTGGGGAGCTGGCTGCCCGGCTGGTAGTGTCCCCGCTAAGCAGGCAGGACGCAGGTCCGTTGGCCCCGGCGCCCTTTGCAGCACCAAGAGCCTCTTCTCCCCACGCTGCCTCCTGAGAGGCAGGCATGCTGATCGGGAGCCGCCCCGGCTCTAAGTTGGACCCAGGCAGGCCATGGATCTTGTTCTGGGAACGTAAACCTGGGGGCTGGATCAGGACCTCTCATTCAGTTTCATTTTGTCCCAAGTGGGGTTCTGCTTTAGTCAGGGGACAGCTGCAGGCCACCCCACCCCCAGCATTTTCGGAAGCCTGGGAAGAGACTGGCCCTGTTTCAGGAGTCAGAGCGTTCAGGAGGCTCCGCCCACAGGCTTCATGCTCAGACCCTCATTCCTGTTTTCCAGCAGGAGGCTCTGCTACCATCTCCCCTTTACCAGGAGGAAACTGAGGCAGGGGGCGGGGGCTCCTTGGGCACACACAGCTGGTCCTGGAGGACTTGGGCACAAATGCTTGATGCCCGCAGTAACTGGCCCTGTCTGGGTCTGACCTGTAGCCAGCTCTCAAAACAAGGCCAGGCCTCAGCCCAGCTCCAAGAAGACAGACTCAAAAACGGATGCTTCCCAGAAGACGGACCTGGAAGAGAAGACTTCGGCTGCTGCCCTGCTTCACAGCAGCAAGTTGGACAAAGCCCCCGTGGCACAGAGGCCCTCCAGGTAAGGCATTTAGAAGGTTCACACCCTGGAACCAGCCCATTGCTTTGCCTTCCAAATGGGCTGGCCTCCAGCATGAACTAAGCTGGGGGTCCAACAGGGCCCCTGTGCTGACCTGAGCCCACCAGAGGGGCCAGCAGCAGCCCCTAAACCATTTACTCAAATTTGACCTCCAAACGAGCTTGCTTTTCACCAAGAATAGAGTCAGGTTTCCCGGCTCCACCTGGGAAACTCACTTGGCCATTGGAAGGCACAGTCAGCAGGACACCCCAGGTTTTGGAACTTCCCTGGAAAGCAGCAGAAAAGGGACCCCATTGTCCCCCAGGTAGTACAGCCAGCAGGACAGGCTCCTGCTTCCCTCTGCACAGTCCTTAGATTCCCTCTTGACCAGTTCTACCAAGTTTGGGGTCAGGACAGCGTGAACCACACATGCGCACCTGGTCACTGGGGAGGAAGAGAAGGGCCCAGATCACTGGCCCCAGAGACCCCGGTGCAGGCGCCCTGGTCAGCAGAAGGCAGCCAGGCCACCTCTGGCTGCTGCACTGACTGTTTCAGAGATGAAGTGGAGACCTTTAATCCAGACGCCACCTGGGTGGCAGGCAGCCAGCACAAGAGCAAGCAGATGATGGGGGTGCCCCGCCTGATGAACCTGCCCCCCCACTTGCGCAAACCCACCTCACTCCAGCAGTGTGAAGTGGTCATCCGCCAGCTGTGGAATGCCAACCTCCTGCAGGCCCAAGAGGTGAGGCTCGTGTGGTGGGGCGCAGCCCTGGCGGCTCTGCAGCCTTGGCCGCCATGCCTTCTCCCTGTCTTCCAGCTGCAGCATCTCAAGTCTCTCCTGGAGAGGAAGAAGTCATCCCAGGCTGCCTCCGAGGAGGCGGCCCCGAGCTCTCCCAAGTGAGTGCCCAGTGTGGCTCTTGCCCCAACACAGGAGGGGCTGGTGGTGCAGGGCTCACTGCGTCCTCTTCCTTCCCCAGTGACCAGGAAGCTATGCAGTTCTCCAAGGTCCCCACCAAGGGTGTCTCTAGGAAATGGTGAGTCCAGGGGCACAGGATGGGTGGGGCACCTGCAAGGAGAAGGGGGCGGGGCACAGCAGAGAGGAGGTCCTGGCTCTGCTGCCCACCCTCTGCCCCCGCCAGCCTGATCCTGAGCCCGATTCCCGTGTCAGAGCGCGCCATCCTGCCCGCACTGAAGCAGACCCTGAAGAATAACTTTGCAGAGCGGCAGAAACGGCTGCAGGTGGTGCAGAGCCGGCGGCTGCACCGCTCCGTGCTCTGAGCGCCTGCCCTGAGCAGCCTGCACCGTGGTCCCGGCCAGGCCCAGGTCACAGCTGGGGACACTCACCCTCTCTAGGCAGCATCCCAAAAAAAAAAATTCCACATAAACCAAACTCACAGCAGATAAAGTCCTTGGTCTGAGAACTGAAAAACGTTTATTTTCTTGCTCAGTATTTTGCTATTCTGCATTTACACAAGAGCGTGTTAAAAGTATTACTTCACCTGTTGAAGAATAAAGCTTGTTTCTCCCAGTCCTGAGTCTAGTCCCTCGCTGGCTGTCAGGTGCTGCTGCCCTGGGAGGCCCCCAGCTCTGCGCCCTATAATGGGGTGCGGGGGAGAGGGCGCTGGCGGCCGCCCTGGAAACAAGCTTTGTGTGCACCCCTTTTTGGATTCAGGGCCTTTCCTGCCCGAGCTGCCTTCTGGGCACAGGCACTCGGGTCTGCTTGACCAGACACTCCTCAGGGCAAGATGATGTCCACCTACCTCGGCAACATCTGTGTCCACACTGACATCGGCGATGAGCCACACTGCTGAGCCCAGCGTCCTCCGTGAAGGGCCACAGTCAAGGCCTCAGGAGAATGGTCCTCTGCAGGGTGCTGGGCCTACCCCGTGATGTCCCCACCCCCTGAGGGCCTCACATCTACCCCTCAATCGCCAGAACAGCAGCTTCCTCTTAGATCTCGTGGGTGTTTCTCAGGGCTAATCTCTGCCTCCTCCAGCTTCAGGGAACAGGGACTTTGCCAGAAACCTGGAGGTGAACCAGGACGAGGCATCAACAGTCAGATGAGGGTGAACTGAGGTCTGGGCATCCATGGCCATCTCCAAGGTGGGGGACCTGGCTCAGCCCTGACAACACCCCTCACTGAATAGTAGGCTCTGGACTCACAGGGGTGGGGTGGGGCACAGTGACAAATTCATGACAAACACAGGAATAATAAATTTATTGTAAGAACCACAGAAGGTAGAGTAGTGCACATACAAAAGGGGGAACCTCTGAACCAGAGGGCTGGCTGATGCTTCACCAGGGAGCCCTCCCTCTCCAGAGTGGCTCTGAGGATACCAGGTCCAGAGGATGGCACCCTGACCCAAAAGTGAGCCCAGCTAGTGCACGTGGTGCCAGGGACAGGGTTCCCCCAGAATGCTCTGCTCCCCAGGACCCCCAGTGCTGAGTAGGCCCCAGGGCTTGAAGGGAACATGCCGTGAGGTGTGAGGTCCAGCTGGTAGTGGTGACTTGCAACTATCCACAGGCCAGACTTCCTTTGAGACACACTGGTGCCCCTGGATGCGGGAGCCTCCCTACGGCAGGCCCCGTGTGAACCCAACACTGAGCAGAGAATTCTGTGTGTCTTCAGGGTTTCCTACAGAAACGGGGGGAGTGTTTTCTGGCACACACACAAGGGCTGTAGCAGGGCCCTGACTTCTCCCTGGGAGTCAGGGAGGACAGGGGCCCTGCAGGTGCCAAAGGGACAGCAGCTTGAGGAGCGCAGGCCCGGGGCGTGTCTGCCACTCCTACCACAGAGGACTCCAGAGCCCCTGTCCCGTCCGGTACCTGTCCCGTCCGGTTCAAGTGTGGGGAACGCTTGGTAGGTCCCCAAGGCAGAAGATAAAAGCAGGAAAGCTAACCTAAGCCCAGGCTCTCTAGGGAGCCAACACCTAGAAGGGTCCGACACAAGGTGTGTGTCCTCTGTGGCCCCAACAAGGCTGCCAGCTGACCCGTGGTCCCTGGTGGGCTGGCAGCCCGAGATGCAGCAGTGGTGGTGGCTAGGCAGCCGAGAGGCAGGCCTGGTGGATGCTCTCCGCCCAGGTGTTGAGCAGGGCTGTAACTGAGTGCTTGTCGGGGAGCTGCAGCAGCCTTGAGGTCATGCATCGGTGCACTGACTGCAGGAAGGGGTTGGCGTCTGCAACAGAGCAGTGGGTCTTGAGCACTGTGCCCTCCTCCAGGACAACCGGCCCCATGCAACTCTTGTATGGGAACCTGCCCTCAAAGGCAGAGCTGGTGTCTGGGGCACTTCCAGCCATGGCTACCTGGGAGGCCATCGCCCATGCACCGCTGGTGGCTGTCAGGTCTCCCAGGCCCAGTGTCACTGGACAACTGCAACATGAGTGGACTCGGAACCCAGGGCTTTCCCTCAGGGATGGCCTCAGGGCTCTAGTCCTGGTCCTCTGTGTGCCAGGTCTGAGCCTCATGGGGACTCATCAACGAAGCCCTCTGGGCCTCTGAGTGCCATGTCACTCAGATGGGTTCCCCTGAGCCCAAGCTCCTGTCTGTCCCCCCAGGCCAGGGGGAGCGCAGGCCCGGGGGCGTGTCTGTGAGCCTGCAGAGGCCCACAAGGGCCACTGAACAGCTGGGCCTGGGTCTGCTCACTCCTCACCTATTGTACACTGATGCCCTGAAGTTGCAGGACAAAGGGACACAATGGGGGCAGAGACCCTTCTTTCTCCAGTGGCTGTGGGGCAACCTGCTCTTGTCCACAAAGGGGAACCAGAGGAGGAAAGGGAGGGCCTCAGCTTGGGCGGCACATGGAGGAAACCCTGGTTGCTCAGAGCTGACCCTGCCTGCCCTGGGTCCCAGGCAGGGACTCCTCACAGCTGCCCTCTTGGCTCACCCACCGTATTGCCACTGCCGGTCGATCCACAGCGGGCTCTGGGCGGGGTAGTCAGCGGGCACACTGAGCTCCAGGGGTGGCACGCTCGGGAGATCCTTGTCATCTGCAACACAAGAGGCTGTGCCCATGACCCGCCCACCCTGCCTCACGGCCCTGCTCTGGTGAGGCTGCAAAGCCTGGAGGACACTGGCTCTAGGGCCTCAGGCAAGCAGAGTCCCCCCTGGACAGGAGGGTTGGACTTCCCTGGCACAGGGGAGGGGACAGTGCTGGGCTCATGGTCCAGCCTCGGAAGATGTCCCGGGGCCAGGGTTTAAGGATCAAGGAGGACAACACGGGCAGCTCCTTTGGGCCTGGGGCTGTGGTGTGAGCCTGGGTGTCTGTAGGAGGCTGAGCACAGTGCACAGTCCGGGTTGGGCCAGTTCTGAGGCGAAGCCTGGAAGCTGTGTTCTTAGCACCCCCATGGCCCGGAGAAATGGTGGAGCCCTGGGGCTGGGCTTACTCCTCGCCCGCCCTGCCCTCCCCAGTACTCACCCAGCTTGCATATCAGGTGGACGGTGCCGTTGTTACTGCAGTGAGAAGGGTCCAAGTTCACTAGGAACTTGGGGTCTAATCTGGCCACCTCTCCCTGGAGCACGTTGGGGATGCTCTGCCGCTCATCCTCTTCAAGCTTCCGCTTCCGGGTGCACACCACCGGTGCCCTGGAGGAGGCGATCGTGGTGACCACACTGGCTAGGCTGTGGCCTGTAGTCCCACACCTGCGCCCACCTCAAGGCTATGCCCTGGGCTGTACATACGTGATGGGTGGGCCATGGATGGCCGTCATGGCTGGCACGAAGGTGCGGTACAGGGAATGGTTGAAGACGGGCGAGCGGATGTTGGCCAGGACAGCATCCAGGAGCGGCTGGCACAAGTACTGCTGCTTGGTTGGTGGTACCGGGGGTGGTGGGGGTGTGGGCTGGGACAGGATGGGTGGGGTCAGCAGCCTCCTCTTGGGAAGGCTCTCCTGAGCCCAAGGCCCTCGTCCTTACTTACAGCCACACTTCCCGAGGCTCCCCACCACCTCCAACCCCTGCACACAAAGATGGCCAATCCTGGACACAGTCTCCCCGATCCCCTCCCACCAGGGCCTGGCCTACTGCTTGGCAAGTGGAGGCAGGATGTGGAGGCAGCTTAAAGGAAAACCCACAGCTTGGATGTTGGAGGAAGCACCCACAGGCGACAGCTGGAGGGCAATTTCTCCCACCTCCCCACACCCCACAGCAGACCTACCTGGAAGAAAACTCCAAGCAGGGTGCCCAGGCTGAGTGGTGAGCCCCCTCTGCCCACCCTGGACAGTGAGGGCAGCTCTTAGCCTGTGGTTCCGAGTCACTGTCGGGTGAGCCCTGACATTCCCTGCTGCCTTCAGAACCTCACCAGACCACAGCACCCCACTCACCACCGCCATGTCATTCTTGAGTTTCTCCAGGGCGATCTCACACTTCTGCAGAGTTTTCAGAGGGCACCTGTGGGGAGAGGGTACGTGGCTGACCCATTGTGCTAGAGGATGGGAGAACTGGCAGCTCTCGTGTGCTAATCCAACCACACCCATCTGACCGCCCCTGGACAGTCAGGCCGGGAGCCTTGGCTACTGGAACCATCCACAGGAATCCAGAGCCTAAGGCCTGGGGGTCCCACCCCAGGAGCTGCTCAGTCCTGATCAGCAGAACAAGGCATAGGTAGGCCAGAGGCCCAATGAGGGGTCAAGCCAAGAAGGCCTGTGGGCCATCAAACGCCAATAGGCCAGCCCCGCAGTGTCTAGCACTCTGTCCAGACAAGCAAACCAGGAAGGACACACAGTCTGAGTCAAGGGACGTAACCTGAAGGCCAGTCCACACGCAGTTCTGTGGCGCTGGCGCAGCTCTGGCGCTGTGTCGAGAACCTGGCACTCCACCGCCTCCCGAGTGCTTCTTAAGGCTCTGTCTTATGAGGGCCCCAGAAGCTGATGCGGGAGTTGGGCTGTGAGCTGGGCTGGCCCACAGCTGGCAAAGGTGGGGGTTGGGGTTTAGAGCCTCAGCAGACACATCTAAGTGGAGCCCCAGGCCCTTCTCTATACTCTGCATTGTCCTAGCCTGGCCAAGCAGCAGCCTGGGGCGCCCATGAGCTGTGGGTGTAGCACCACCCTCCCTGGGGGCCCGAGGACATGCTCACCTCTTGGAGGGGTCAGTCAGGATGTCCAGAAGGCTCTTCATCTTACTCAGGTCCTTTTTTCTGTCTGGAACAGAAGAGGGGATACTAAGACACAGCCTGGGAGTCTGCCGCTCCCACCCCAACCCCCGTGCAGGCCCCACCCTCACCTTCATTCTTGTCGATCTTGTTGATCATGCGGCGTAGGGGCTCGATGTACTTGGACAGCTGCTTCAGCTTGTCCAGGTACTGCTGCTCCTCGGCCTGGCTGGAGCCCGCTGGGCTCATGACTGAGCTGGGGTTTACTGCAGGACAGAGGCTGGTGAGCCCAGCCAGTCCACAAGGCCCGACTCTCTGCAAACCCTCAAGGTGGGGTGCTCGGGCTCCAAGGGGCTCGGGTTTGCTCACCCCTTACAAGCGAGGCCTCATGAGGGTGAGGGCGTTGCCCTCAGCATCTCAACTCCCAGGGTGAATGTGGGTGACAGGATTGGCCCTGGGTTGCAGGCTACGCCCATCCCCAACCCGACTTACCAGGGGTGTTTAAAGGTCCCGGGGAGGGGACACTGAAGTTCTGCGGGGTGCGCGCTGTCACTGGACTCTGGGAGGGCTGTGGTGAGGGGCTCGGCAGGAAGCTACTGGGGGATGGGGCAGGGCCGGAGCTGCAGCAAAGGGAAAGGGAGCGTGTCTGTGAGCTGTGGGCACCAGCAGGGCCCTCCCTGTGAGCCAGGCAGGGAGGGGCACCCCGGCCAGGCCTACCTGACGTTGGAGTTGGGCTGTGAGCTGGGCTGGCCGGGCTGCGGGGACGGCTGTGGGGGAGGAGGCATCGACTGCGGGGTCTGCACCTGCTGGCCCGGCGACGGCGAGGACAGCATGGTGAGGCTGTTCTGGCTGACCTGGAAGTGGAGGGGGCTCAGCCTGCTCGCCTGACACACACTCTCACTCCCACTATCCCCTTGTTCCCACCCGCTCAGGCTTGGAGACCCCACGTGGCTGCACGCACAGCCCCGTCTCTCTCTCACAGCCTCACTGCATACCCTTGTCTTTCTTTGATGCCCTGCTTCTCAAATACTAATACAGGCACG